AATACTTCCCATAATTATTTGGACAAGTACTTTCACTGTCCAACAAACATATTTCATAATTTATGGAATGAAAAAGGTGTCGTTGGGATCTAGCATTCCAATGATATCCCGACTAATTGGTTACGAGGCCGACGTCTCGCCTATTGAATAGTCGTCACTCCTCCTAAACATTCAAACCGTCTAACCCCGTTCTTCACCCTCGTGCGATCGAGTTCAAACCTTAATACGCGTCTAAAATCATACGTTTAATTTCAAATTATTTTCTTAATTAAATTACGAAAGAACTGAGTTATTGGAGTCTCGCACTCCTTGAATTCTTGAGTAACTACTCTTGAGGCATACGCTTTAGGTTGTGGGTTGCTCGACCTTTCGTCTATAAAACACGTGCCCTAATTATATGGACAAATATCGCCATTGTCCATTCAAATACAATTTCATAATTAATTGAATGAAAAAGGTGTCGTTGGGATCTAGCATTCCAACGATACCCCGATTAATTGGTTGCGATGTCGACGTCTCGTTTATCGAGTAGTCGTCATTCTCCCTTAAAATATTCAATCCAACTCTCTTCTCTCGCCCTCGTGCGATTGGAACTTTCTCAAACATATTTTGTAATTATTCGAATGAAAAAGGTGTCGTTGGAATCTAGCATTCCAATAATGCCCCGATTAATTGATTGCGAGGCCGACGTCTCGTTCATTGAATAGTCGTCATTCTCCATCAAATTACCTAACCAAACTCCTATTTCTCGCCCCCGTGCGATCAAAATCTTAAACCTATTCAAATTTATCCTCTTTCCCAAACCAAAACATCCAATACGATAAACCTAATTCCTCGCCCTCGTGCGATTTCCAACCTAAATACTTTCCCAAAGGACATTGTTTAGTCCATTCTTCCACGCATGACAAACTCGAGCTTCAGCCTCCCCTAGCGAGCAGACAAGCCAATGTTTAGCAGTTAGAATGCGACCTAAACACTCGTTCATTTTCCAAACCTTTTACCGTAGTTAGCCGAACTACGGCTGCTCTGATTTCTCACATCTGTTGAGAATACGTAGGCATAGGATTGCGATGATCCTAGCGAACACTTTTCTTTCTTTCCCACCTTTAGGTTCCCATACCTTTTACCAAAGAACATTGTTTATTCCTTTCTTCCGCGCATATGAACTCGTGCTTCAGCCTTCCCTAGCGAGCAGACAAGCCAATGTTTAGCAGTTAGAATGCGACCTAAACTCTCGTTCAACTCATACCCACCTTTTACCAAGAACATTGTTTAGTCCCTTCTTTCGCGCATAACAAACTCGTACTTCAGCCTCCCCTAGCGAGCAGACAAGCCAACGTTTAGCAGTTAGAATGCGACCTAAACTCTCGTTCATTCCAAACACAAACCTTTTACCGTAGTTAGCCGAACTACGGCTGCTCTGATTTTTCATTTATCAATGAGAATACGTAGGGACAAGATTGCGATGATCTTGGCGAGCACATTCCCCTCCTTTACCCGTAGTCCCATGAACTATGAATGCTCTAATTTTCCACTTCTTACAAGTGAAGATACGTAGGCACAAGGGCCCCAATCCTTGGCGAGCACCCTATCTTAAAACCACCCATTCCCCCTATAGGAGAAACCTTAGAAGAAAACAAACAAGTGTAGATAACTTTACTCTCGAATCGATCAAGAGGTTCCCGTTGAGTACAACGGACGTAGAGGGTGCTAATACCTTCCCTCTGCGTAACCGACTCCCGAACCTAGAATATTGGTTGCGATGACCATGTTCTTATCTCTCTTAAAGGTTTTATCGATATTTTCCTATTCCATCCTTGGAACGAATAAAGTTCGGTGGCGACTCTGTTTCGAACATATTTTCCGCGTCCATCGCGAGGATCGTATTTTTCGAGGTACGACATCGGGAAGGCCAGTGTGAGGGAAACCTCTATGATGGTGCCTTCTTCGTTGTCGAGGATGATGTCTGCTCCGCTGCCCGTGGAGTTTGAGGAGCCGTCAACGAAAATAGTCCATTTGTGGCTCCCCGTGGTAGGGTCTGGCGAGGAGGTCATCTCGGCGACAAAGTCGGCCAGGGCTTGGGCCTTGAGGGCTTTCCTGCCTTCATAGACGATGTCGAACTCAGATAGTTATAATGACCATTTTAACATGCGTCCAGCCATGTCGGGTCGGCTGAGGAGCTGTCGGATGGGCTGGTCGGTTCGGAGCACGATGGTGTGTGCTAATAAGTAGTGTCAGAGCCGTCGTGCAGCGGTGATGAGGGCTATGGCGACTTTTTCGATCAGCTGGTATCGGACTTCGGGACCATGAAGGGCTTTGCTTGTGAAGTAGAATGGATTTTGCCCCTCTTTGGTTTCTCTGATTAGAACGACGCTGACGACCTCGTTAGCTACGACCAGGTATAGGTATAGGGTTTCGCCCGTTACGGGTCGTGTCAGCACTGGTGGCTCGGACATGACGCGTTTGAGGTGGCGGAAGGCTTGCTCGCACTCCTTTGTCCATTCGAACGTGGTCTCCTTTCTGAGTAGTTTGAAGAAAGGGAGGGCGTGCTGTGCAGACTTAGCGGTGAATCGGGAAAGTGAGGCGAGCACGCCGTTGAGGGATTATATGGACTTCTTCGTGGTGGGTGTGGTGATTTCCGAAAAGGCGTGGCACTTGTCCGGATTTGCCTCGATCCCGCGCTCTGTCAGGTAGTAGCCGAGGAATTTTCCTGCGCGGACACCGAAGGTGCATTTTTCTCCGGGTTGAAGCGGATTTGGAAGTTCCTCGCTGTGTTGAAGACCTTTCTGAGATGGTCTGTATGGTCGACTTCCGTGTAGGACTTGACGATCATGTTGTCCATGTACACTTCGAGCATGTCGCTGATTTCCCCCCGGAAGACGTTGTTCATCATCCGTTGGTACGTGGCGCCGATGTCCTTTAGGCCGAAGGGCATTACGTTGTAGTAATAGTTGCCCGATGCCGTCATGAAGGCCGTGCTCTGTTTTTCGTGCTCGGCCATCGGGATCTGGTTGTACCCCGAGTACGCGTCCATAAAGGACAAGATCTTGAAGCCCGCAAAGTTTTCGACGAGTTTGTCGATGTTGGGGAGAGGGTAGGCGTCCTTAGGACATACCCGGTTGAGATCGGTATAGTCAACACACATGCGCCATTTTCCATTATTCTTTTTAACGAGTACAACATTGGACAGCCAGGTTGAATACCGGGCTTCCGAAATAAAATTTTCCTCTAGGAGGTCTTTTACAGCTTTTTCAGCTGCCGCCGACTTTTCGGGGGATTGTCTACATCTATGTTGTACTACGGCCTTGGCGGTCGGGCTGATGGACAGTTAATGGCAGGTGAGCTTGGGGTCGAGTCCGAGAATTTCGGCGGCGCTCCAGGCGAAGAGGTCTGCGTTCTCGCGGAGGCAGGCCTTCAGTTGTCTCTTTGCTAACTCGGGAAGTCCTGCCCCGATCTTTACGGTTCTACTCTCGTCGTCCCCGAGTGTCACGATATCGAAATCGCCATCCGGGATGAGGCGCGCTGGGTGGGTGGGCTACCCGTTGGACTGGCTGGTTTCGCTGGTCTTGTCTTCGCGGTGGTGTTCTTCGGTGAAGCGGCTGTCGAGGTCCACTGACCCGACAAGCTCCTTTTGTTCGATCTTAGGCGTTGCGGCGGGGGCTGCTTTTTTAGTTGCTGAGGTGATGGTGCTCAGACCTTTCAGCGCAGCCTCGAAGCATCGTCGGGAGGCGTCAATGTCACCGTTCAGAGTCACCACGGCTCCGCGCCTTGTATAGAATTTCATTTTTAGGTGGACAGTGGAGGGTACCGCGGTGAGCTCCGCCATCGTCGTCCTGCCCAGGATACAGTTGTAGAGGGACTGTCACTCGATGACTAAGAAGCGGATATTGATCTCCCTGGCGGTTTCCTCTTCCCCGAACATGAATTTCAGCTCCACGTATCCCCATGGTCATGTCGTCGTCCCGTTGAACCCTTGGAGGTCCGAGCCCACGTAGGGGGATAGGTTGGATTCGTCGAGCTGGAGGGTCGTGAAGAGGTGGGTGTACATGATGTCCACCGAGCTGCCTCCGTCGACGAGGAAGCGTCTGACATCGAAGTTCGCCATTTGCGCCCGTATCAGCAAGGGAATGTTGGAGTTGAGGGAGCCCCCGGGGAGTTCCTCGAGGTAGAATGTGATCGGATTGGATCGGCCGCGAAATTTTTCGAGCGTGCTCATCTTACCAGAGTTGCTCGTGATAAGTTCTTCGAACTTTCTTTTCACCGATCCTACGGACAGGTTCCTCGTGGAGCCGCCGGAGATGACCATGGCTCTCGCAAAGTATTCCCATCGACTGGTGGGTCGTACCAGCTCGACGGGCAGGTCAGGGCCGTCGGAGAGGCCGAACTCTCTATCAGCGAACCAATCCTCGGGGCGGCTGACGCATAGGGCGACTTGGAGTCCGTTGTCGCTGTCCGAAGAGGGGAGCTCTTCGACTTTCTTGTCCTCGGGAGCTTCTTGCCTCGGGGTTTCTCCCCCGGGTGTATCTCTTTAGGTGGCCATCCTTAATCAGGATTTCGATCGCGTCCTTGAGATGGATGCAGTCTTCCGTCACGTGCCCGTGACTCCTGCAGAAACGACAGTACTTCGATTTGTCCACATTGGGTTTGATGGGTGTCGTCTTGGGGAAGCAGACACCTCCCTGGACGAATTTGGTTTTGGCGCATTCGGCCAGTATGCGCTCGTGAGAAGCGACTAGGACTGTGTACTCCGTGAATCGGCCGGCCGAGCCGCGCTGCTCGCGTTGTTCGCGGGGGCGATCCTCCCGTCTGCGATCACCTCCGCACCAGTGGCTTGAAGCTCCGTCGTCTTGGTGCCCGCGGGGGGCCTCCCTGTCTCGGGTGTGTCGGGCAGAGTTGGCTGCTTGGGTTTCCTCGAACCGGATATAATGCGTGGCTCTGTCGAGGAAATCATGTAGGGAAGCTGGGCGGTGTATGCCCACGGCCTCGTATAACTTGGAGTCTCAGTGCAGACCCTGCTCCATTAGGTAACGCTTCATCTCGTCTGACGTCGTTACCTGCACTGCCTCCCGTGTGAATCTTTCGATGTACTTTCGGAGAGGCTCGTCGGGAGCTTGGATTATCACGCCGAGTGCGGCTTCCGTCTTCGGATGGCGTCGGGATGCTGTGAAGTGTTTTAAAAACAGGTCCTTCAGAACCCTCCACGACGTAATCGATTCGGGCTCTAGACTTTTGTACCATGTCATGGCGCCTTTCCTCAGGGTCGTCGGGAATAACCTACATTTGATACCCCCTCGAACATTTCGGTAGTCGAGCATGGCCTCAATGTCTTCCAGGTGATCGTCTGGGTCAGAGGTGCCGTCGTATGTCGAGAGCGTCGGGGGCTTCTCCATCTCGTGGGGTATGGGGGCGACCATGATTTCCTGGGACAAAGAAGTCCTGTAGTCGCCTTCGTTGCTGAGAGCGGGCGATCGAGGGGGAGATGATCCGTTTGGTAGAGGCACCTGGTTTCGGCCCCTCGGTCTCCTGATCGGGGGTTCGACGCGCGAAGGCCTGGTCAGGGGTTCGACCCTGTTTTGCCATCTCTCGTGAACTTGTCTCGTCAGGGATCTTGTCCGCTCCTGCACTACTTCTGTTCCGGGTCTCTCCAGCCGAGGTCGTCGATTTCTGGGTTGAGACGAGGGGCTCCTCGAGTTCCCATTCTGGTCTTCCTGCGGAGGGGACCTTGGTGGGACCTCACGCTCTAGTGCGCCAATCCGTGCGTTCTATTGAAACAACAGCTGGTTCGTCTGGTTGATGGCCGCGAAGAGGGCGGCCACCGTTGGGTCCGCTCCAGCTGGAACAGGAACAGGTTGGAACGCTGCTGGGCTTTGGGGCCGGTGGACAACCTGGTGTGTCGGTTCTGCGGACGACGGAGATGCAGTCTGGCCGTCTCTCTCGTCAGTCTCGCTGGGCGGGACGTCTCCGTTGGCTTGTCGCCGTTCGCGGCAGGGTTGAGAATGAAGTCGTGAACGGTATCGTTATGGTGTGGGCTAGCCATGATCGTGGAGTGTTGGTGAAACTTTGGTTTTCTGCTCGGAGTAACGGGAAAGTTTATGTTCCCACAGACGGTGCCACTGATCTGACCTGATCAGAAGGGGATCACTAGCTGGCCACGCTCTGTTGGACTGCTGCCTATTCACCGGTGATGAGGAATAGGGGGTGTACCTGCAGGGCACTCCTATGCCAAAGTAAGTATATGGGCAGAGTGATCACAAGTACAGAAAAAGGGGTAAGAAGTGAATTACCTGACCCTCTTGTGAAAGAGGGTATTTATAGAGAGACCGTAGCGCTGAGCCAACAATCATTTGAGATGGGCTGGATGACCAGGCCCAACCCTAATGACTATTAGGGCTTACCTGGCGTAGTGAAGACCGGAACGTGGTCTTCGCCCTAGTTCAACTGCTCAGTGAACTCCGGAAAATGGGTTGACCTGCTCTTTCGGAGGTGGGCAGTTGATGGATGACGTGTCCCCGCGGAGGGGAGCACGTGGAGAACGTGTGAAGGACACGTTGTCCTGCCCGACAAGGTGTAGGTTTTGCCCGCCGGGGGGGAGGGGGGGGGGGTCTTGTCCGCGGAGGGCAGTGTTTGCCCGGCGGGGAGTCTCCTGCCCCACGTAGTTGGGGTAGTTCCTTCTCGCGGGGAGACCTTTCCTGCTCGTCGGAGATCCTGTGTCTGACGTTGTGGTTCAAGCTGGTCTGAGCTTGGTGGAATATTATTGGGCTGGGCCCGTGTGGTCAGGCCGGAGCCCAGGCCAGAACAACTTCCATACAATGTTATTTTAAAATTAATTTATTTGGGTGCCACTTTTCTTATCTGTCATTTAATAAATTCACTATTGCATAAAATAACTAAGAAATAACTTTGTAACAAAATTAAATAAAAAATACAAAGAAATAACTACAAATCAAAGTACCAATTTATTATTACTATCACTCTTAGAAAAGAAAATACAATTTATCATCCAAGATTTAAATACTTCGATATAATATCAAGTACTTGACCAATTTTCATAATAACATCAACATATTTTGAAAGTAAAGATTTATCACTATGATAATCATCATCATGATAATAATAATCTTTAGGATCATTTTTACAATGAAGAATATTTTGCATAAGTAAAGCAGTAGACGCAGCCATATTTCTATACTCTCCTCTCTTCAAAAAAAAATCTGCATCAACCAAATGTACAGACGCACTAGTACCATAGGGACCCAAATCTAGCAAACAAGTATCATAATGTTTTCTTGCCTTAGCCTTACCATCACCTTGTGAAATCAATTTATTGATTAGGTTCACAGTATTGGTCAAATTGACACGAAGCACATCAATTGTGTATTGTGCAAGGTTAACCAGATCTGCACCTTTTGCTCCACCAGGTTTTGAGTTGAGAAGTTTTGAACAAAATGAAGGTTTGAATGTTTCTTTACAAATTACATTTACTTCCACAACCTCATTTGAGTTGGAGGAAGCAACACATAGAAGAAGAATCACCAACAAGAGAAAAGAGCATTGATTCATTTTGTGTGTGTTTCTTTTTTCTTCTTTTTCTTTATAATTTAGAAGTTAGGGGAAGGGGTATTTATACTAAATTCATTGGGAATAATATCCTTGGTCAAAAAAATTTATTGAACTTGGAACAATACAGTTATTTATTTTGACTAATATCTATTTATATTTAAAGCCCAAGAAATTATATAAATATTTTATGAGAAAGAATTATATATTACTTTATAATATAATTAATGATTTTGTAATGAAAATAATGAGAATTGATGAATTAAGTAATAATAAAAATAATTATTTTTTTATATCTGAAATAAATTAAACTTTGGGATAACGGAATATAAAATTATTCTAAGTATATTATGGTCAATAATAAAAATTATAATTAATATTTTTTGAAAATTTAAATTAAGAGAATTGATAAATGATATAATAATGAAAATCATTAATTTTTTTTACTAAAATAATCTTAAATCACTTCTAAATGTATTTTGGTGAATAATTATAAATTAGGATTAATACGAAATACTATCTTTTTATATGAATAACCTATCTCTTGTCCTAAGTTATTAAATGTGAAAATTTTATATAGTAAATTGTGCATTGACTTTTTCTAGAAGGTTCAAACTTTATCTTTATTAAAAGATTTTTAATATTACTTTTATTTATTTTGGACTTGTGTCCTAAAAACACAATTTAACATGATCCTAAAGAAAGAAAAAAAATAAAAAATACACATTTGATACTCTAAATATTTTAACAATAATTAGACAACAAAAATCGATTTCTTTTATTTTAATATTTAAAACTATTTTTTTATAGATGAAATGATAATAATAAACAAAAATTCATGTACAACTGTGAGATCTCGAATATAAATTTAAAATAAGATTTTGAATTTAATGATATGGATATTAGTCTTAAAATCTTATAATATATGTATATCTATATTATAATACATATTTTATGTTTTAAAATTTTCACATATCATCTCTTAACCATTCTTCTTTGAGATTAGGGATGGTAATATGGACCAATGTCCATTGGTACCCGTAAAAAAATGTTTATAAAAAGTGAGAATTTTTTATCCCATCTCATGGATTTCTTTTCTACCATGTGATTTTTTACAAATATCTTAGATTCCGAAGATACATCTCCAGATGTACCTCATGACTTAATAATATTTCAGAGATATGTCTTCGAAACGATTTAAATTTTAAACCGTCACAATGTATCTTCCATAGTTCGTTTCCATTTGAATTTGTCCGGTGATGCATTTATGAAAAAATTTCAGAAATACATCTCCGAAGTGTTTCAAAATATATATTTTTAAAATGTATTATGTATTTGTTCGCAGATGAATTATAAAATAACAGACACGCCAAAATAACATAACAATATAGTAATATGGTGTCACACGTCACGTAAATCCAAAATGTAATAACAATGTCAGGAAAAACGTACAAACTACAGTACTGAAACAAAATAAATACGAACAATTACTGGGTGTGCCTGATAACCTCTTCTTTGCCTCCTGTGTCTGGTCTGCCTCTTCGGCCATCGACCCCCCTGTCCTCGCGCAACGTCTGTGGTACAAAAGTGCCCCATGTGTGTTGCACCCTAAAATTTGACCAACCGGTCCTCATATCTGGTTTATGTTTCGACACATTTTACATTCGCATTCGCATACGACATGCATTGTATTTTTATCATTCAGATTTGTTTTTATCGGGATTATAGCCCCTGGCGTTTCAGGCAGTTCAGGCCGGTCGAAATAAAAGTCTGTTGAGAATTGGTGCTCGTTTCTGGTATTTTCAGGCCATCTCGGCGCTCGAGTTTCGCTGCGGTTGCGTAATTGGGGTTTTATTCGATTTAATCGGCTTCCTGGCATTTTTAGGATTTTTCTGTCATTTTTCTGGATTTTAATGCGCTTAATTGAATTTTTCTGGAGTTAATAGGTTTTTTTTATAATTTTTAGAGTTTTGAATAAATTTTCTTTTCATTTTTTAGAAATTAATAGATTTTTAGATATTATAGTTTTTTAATAAATTTTAGAAATAAATTTTCTTTTAATAGTTAATAGATAAACAGTTTTTTTTAAAAAAGAGTAGAAAAAATAATAATAATAATAGATAGTGTTTTTTAGATTAGAGTTTTATTGTGTTAAAGAAAGAATTAATAAAGAAAAGTAATAAATAGATAGTATGGTTTTTTTAGATTTTTTAGATTAGATTTTATTTGTTAATAGTTTAGATTTTAAAAAAAGAAAAAAGGATTAAAATGTTCTTAGATTTTATTTGTTTTTTTAGAATTAATTAGGGTTTTAAAAATATTTTTTAGATATTAAATGTTCAGTGTTTTGTTTTTCAGAATTAATTAGTTTTTTAGATATTAAAATTTTCTTTTAATTAGGAGTTTATCTTTTTAATTTTCCTTTGAATAGATGCATTAGGATTAAATTGGGTTTTTAGAGTTAATTAGGATTTAGTTTTAATTTTGTTTTAGGATTAATTAGGGTTTATAAGATTTTAATTAGGAGTTTAGGTTTAATTTTTGTTTTTAGTTAATTAGGGTAATTAGATGTTAATCAGATTTTGTTTTAATCTTAGTTTAGGATTTAATTAGGGTTTTTTTCATTAATCTGGATTAAGTCTAATTTGGGCCCAATCAGCAAATTATCCATTAAAGCCCAGAATCAGAGTCCAAGTCCCAGCAATGCCACTTGTCCAATAAATAGCCTGCCACGCGTGCAGAGAAGCTTCTTCCACCTCATTCCGGTCCCACCCTACATGCACACCACGTGTGCTCCCTACTAACTCTGACTCCACACGTGGTGCTCCCTCATCTCTCTCAGCCACACGTGGCTCATCCTCCCTCACTCCCCTTGCCACCGCACCACCTCGCCTGAATCCCACCGCCGGCCATGCAAAGACCGGCGACCACCGTCCTAACCACCTCCGACCACCGCTAATCACCGGAAACTGGAAAATTCTCATAAAATTCTTCCCAACTTCATCTTCTCCGATCCAAACTCATAGCTCCTTCATAGATTTTTCCAGAAAACTGCAAACACGCAAGAACGTTCTTCCCAGATTCATCCATCGTTCGTCAACTTCATCGTGTTCTTGAGTTCGTTTTCCAGAAACTCAAGAGAACTTCATCATGTCATCGCGTTCTTGAATCATTTTCCAGAAATCTTCGATTCTCCTCAAGCACGTTCAACAACCTTGCTACACTCCTACCGGATCTTCAACGACTCCTCGAAGCTTCTCAAGAAAATTTCATCAACTTCATCGTGTTCAATTTCAAGAACCTTCAACTGGAAATCCCAACGAATGAGCCTCAACGATCATCATCAAGAACGTCATCGCTCGTCACCTGTTCCTCGATCTCTCCAGAATCTCCAAGAACTTTCCCAGAACCTCCGTCTTCGTCAGATCCTCAAGGTTCTTTTTCTTCTTTCTCGAATTTGTAAGGATGCATGTAGGTTGTTTATCTGGATTTAGCTTATGGTTAGTTTTGCTAGGTTGGAAACGAGATAGATAGTGATATTTAGGTTTGAATCTCGGTTAGTGAGGCGAGTGTTAGGGGTTACGTTTTTTAGCGGAGTTTTGAAGGGTTGTTTGGGGGACGGTGTTGAGAACAGAGGGAGTTCTTGATTTAATTTCAGAACTCGTTTCATGAGAGTTTCAGAGAGGGAGAGTGTGGAGAGGGAGAACGGCGCCTAGGGTTCAAGTTAGGAGAGATGAACAGTGTTCCAGTTTAGTTCGTTTTAGGGTTTTTTGGTGTTTGCTGAAGATGGTTTGGGCTCGGGCACTAAGCCCAATTGCATTTGCTGAATGCACTCCCTTGATTCCATTCACACCACCTCCCCTTTGGAATTGTCGTTTGGGCTTAACCTTGGTGCTGCTTGCACCCCCCAAATTGGGCCCAGAATGAATAACAAGGGGGATTCTCGCTATCAGTACCCCCCTTGGGTTATCTTTTTGGTTGTTTTTTTTGAGTTAGGAGCGTGGGCCCATCGTGCTATCAGCACCCCCCATCCTGGGCCCAATTTGTATTCTGAAGGTAAATGGTTGCTTCTAGCACCCCCCCTGTTTTCCATTTAATTGATTTCTTTTTGTTTCTTTTTTCATTTGTATATAAGTTACCAAATAAATTCATAAAAAATTCATAAATGCTCATTTTAATATGGGGTTTTTTCCTCCATTTCCATAATGATGTCAAGAATATTATGAAAAAATAAAAAATGGTATTTTAGGCATTTTTCCATTTATGGTGATTTTTCCATTTTAATTGCTTTTATTTTCATGTTTGTTTATACATACATATTATTGAATTTTGTTTAGGCATTTAAATGCATCTTTTGATTCCATTCTTTTTGTGGTAGTTAGATTAGAACAATAAGTTCCCCCTGGATTTATTCCACATTTTTGTGGATTAATATTGATTATTTTTTATTAGAAAACATTAGGGTGATAGTTTTAGGGTTCAAACCCAACATAGGTGCATTCTAACATTTTATTTTGGGCTTTTTAGCATGATTCAGGGTATGGGACATATAGGGTATGTAGGGTAGATATAGAACTCCCCTTAGAATAAAGCTTAGAATTTTAAATACTATTTTACTATTTTTAGTATATTTTGCAAATTGTGTGATTGATTGGGGTTCCCATTTGGGGCTTTTGTTTGTCTGCTTGGGCTTTTGGGTTTTCATTTGGGGTGTGGGCTTGGCTTGAGCTTGTGGAAGCATGAAGACATCAAAGGAGAAGTTTGAGGATAATAATCAAAGGGTGATGCATGAAGATTGCTTGGATTGAAGGTGCAGATTGAAGGCATAGGAAAAATAGGAGCAAATAAGCAGAGCGTTAGAATAGAACAAATTCTTTGTACAAACATGGAAAGCTTCTTGTGCTTCCATTCTTCTCAATGATTAAAAGTCCCTCTATGATATTCACCTCCATCCTTTGGAGGGATAAGTGGTTGTATCTAAGAGGTAGAACTTTGAGGGAAAC